AACCCCCTGCTCCAGCAGGGACACCCAGAGCACGGGGCACAGGGCGGCATCCAGGCGGGTTGTGAAGATCTCCAGAGAAGGAGACTCCACAGCCTCCCTGGGCAGCCTGTTCCAGGGCTCTGGCACCCTCACAGTGAAGAAGTTCTTCCTCACATGGAGATGGAACGGCCTGTGTTTCAGCTTACACCCATTGCCCCTTGTCCTGTCATTGGCGACCACTGGGAAGAGCTTGGCCCCTTACTCCCTACATTCCCCCTTCATGAACTTACACATATTGATCTGATCCCCTTTCAGCCTTCTCTTCTCCAGAGAAAACAGGCCCAGCTCGCTCAGTCTCTCCTGGTAGGAGAGATGCTCCAGTCCCTTAATCATCAGACTTCTCCTACGCTACAGCTCCGGAATAAACTGGGTATTTTTAAGTGATTTCAAGGGAGAGATCCATCCTATGAATACAAGTGGCCTCCACATAACAAACTGGCTGCTATTTATTCATACTGTAAATACTCATTAAATACCTATCGCTGATGGGCTGTTAATGGACTGATCTTGATAAATGCGAGGCAGCGGATGAAAGCAAAGAGCTTCGTCGTCCCTGCGCCCTGCTGAATTTGGCCATCTGTCATTTTTAAGTGGTCATTTGTTATGCTGCCTTATCCAAGATATTTATAATCATAATGAAACGAGACAAAGCACCAAACGGCAGCCTCCTTGCCTTAGAGTAATCTAAACTGAAAAAGACGTGACAAGCGGATGGACTGATGGCCAGTGCTAGATAACTCTCTGGAGGTTAATGTATTTTATCGTGTTGATGTTTTTATTCATAAGTGCACTCCAAGAAGCCACTGGATAATGTTAGATGTGCAAGATTGTTTAGAGTAGTCAGTTCCTTCCTAGGAAAGCTGTGTGTGTGAATTCAGCGGGGCAGAGCGTATGACAGTAACCACATACCTCACCCCAGTGCAAGCAGAGCTCTGCACCTGAGTCCTGACAGGAGGCACTGCGCAAACAGGAACACGCGGCTGCAGATACAGCCTGAGGTCAGTCAGCTAAAAAGGAAGTTCACCAAGGAACTTCTCCGTGGACCAAGAAGGAAAATAATAATGTTTTAAGTTGCATCACCTTGTGAGTATAGCCGAATTGCAGTAATCATGGAAAGAATTGGCACTATAGAATATAAAAATAATAATGTTGGGAGGAAGGGCCAAATGTTTCTCAGTGGCGGCCAGTGACAGAACAAGGGGCAACAGGTACAAGTTGAAACACAGCTCCATCTGTATATGAGGAAGAACTTCTTTCCTGTGAGGGTGCCAGAGCCCTGGCACAGGCTGCCCAGGGAGGCTATGGAGTCTCCTTCTCTGGAGATCTTCCCAACCCGCCTGGATGCCGCCCTGTGCCCCGTGCTCTGGGTGTCCCTGCTGGAGCAGGGGGTTGGACTAGAGGATCTCTAGAGGTCCCTGCCAACCTCAACCACTCCATGATTCTGGGATTTGTGTCCTGTCATTTCTGTTTTCTGTGAAATGCCAGATTACAGAAAAAATGTAGATCAGATGGGACCTCAAAAGGCCAGCTCTTTTTTCCTTTTTTCTTATCCAGAATGAGGCTAGCTCCAGAGTTGCATCACACGGCCCAGGAGCTTGCCTACGTGAACGGATCTGGAGCATCTCCAACAGAAAGGATTCCACAGGGCCCTCAGGAACAGGGATGTCACGGCGCTTATGGGTAGCCTGTTCCAGCGTGTGGCCATCCCCAGCATGGAAAGTGTTCTCTTAACGTCCAGTCGAAACTTATGACAGTCCAACTTGTCTCCGTGGTGTCTCATCCTTTCCCTGTGCACCTCCAAAGAACATCTGGCCCAGCCATCCCCACAACCACGTAGTCATTTGTATTTCCCCCAGTTTGACAACATCCTTCTCGTAAGGGCATCCTGGACTTTGTGTTCCTCAGGACCTTTTGAGCTGTGGTTCCTCTCTGCCAGCAACCAGTTTCCTTATTGGCTTCAACACTGGTATCTCTTCTTCATAAATCTACATGCAGTCATTATACACTGCAAAATGTAAACTTTAGAGGTCAGACTGAATAAAGAACTGGATCTCTGGACACAATCTCTGTTAGGCAGGAAAACATATAACTGTTGTAAGCTACATGCATTCAATATCCATGCTGGCTATCAGGTTTATCTCACATTTGTTATTTTTCTGGGAGAGGTTCACATGACCTCATTTTATGAAACACAACATATTTCCTTTAATAGCTGCATGTGCGTTTGGGTGCCATTGCTACATAAAACTGCATTTGTGTGTACTATGATATTGTCTGAGGAAGACCAACAAAAGGCTGAAGTAGATGACCAATACAGCACATACATGATGCATCACAAGTTGATGACGCTGCTAATGATCTATCAACATATTCGTGTTTCAACTAATGGAAATATTATGGCTATTAAAATCTGATTAGCAGAGCAGCAGCATCTTAGTTGTGCCATACAAAGTGAAAAGCTGAAGTCAGATAATGGCTAACATCTACTCCCTTTCTTACTGGAACCAGAACTTTATCCTCTGATTTTAAAAGAGACCACAGAAGAGCCCTCTTCATCTCTATTGCTTAAGTTTTCTGAAATCAGTCTTCCCAGAAAAACAATTTTTAAATCTCAGATTTTGAATCCCTTCCATACCTACTTTGTTGTTGTTGCTGTTTGATTAGATGATTTAAGTGTGATACTTCTCTGATCTAAAAGTAGAAGAGTAACAGCTGGACTCAAGAGACCTACATTTGTAGTATCCCTTTTCCTTAGCTGCCCATACTTTGCTCCCGTCAGGAGTGGAACTATAGTTTGGAATGAAATGGTAGCTCCCCTGTTCTTCCCTCCTTCTGCCATCAGCCTGCATCAAATCAAAAAAGCAGACCTAAGAACAGCGATACAGAACTTGTAGTGCTGCATCACTGATACAACTAAGGACAGACCTTAGTCTTAGACCTTAGTCTTTCCTTAGGAAAGACCTTTCAGACTCTAGGAAAGACCTTTCCTTAGGAAAGACCTCCAAAAGTTGGAAGAAGGCCAGGTTAGTCAAGAAGTCTTCTGAGTGTACCTGCTCTGAAAGCCCTCACTCCTTTGGGCCTAATTCTGGTCACATTAGTGCCCTGTGAGGCTGTGAAAACTCCTAGATGTTTTCTGCCCCAGTGCCACTTCCCAAGCCAAATACCTGCTGCAGTCTTCTAGTCTGACCCAGTTTCTCCTCAGACATTTCAATCCAAGCTACTACCACGCTGTGGAAGCACTGCTCTGTGTTGTGCCTGTTCTGGAGACAGTGTGAGGGGCACACTGTACCGTACCCACATCCAGAGATAAGTTACAGATAAGTCACTGGTCTTTGGACTCTCTCTTAAGCTTCCTGTTGGGAAAGAGGCCCCTTCAGCCCATCTGTGCAGGATCTTACCCCTGCAATTCTGGATTCCTTCCTCTGCTATTCCACTATTTCTAGCCAAGATGTTGGAGCAGGGAAGTCTGAAGCATGAAGTGAGTCCATCCCAAGCTACTAGACATCAGTACAGACAGCAGCCACGAACCAAGCCAAAGGAAAATTCCTTAGGACTTGGTGCTAGTTTCAGCAGGCAGCAACTGCTAGTTCACATCTGGCAGGCATGTGGGTCCCTGATCCAGGAAAGGAATTGTATACATTGTTGTCTCTTTTCGGACTTAAATTTGGCTTCTGGATGTTTGAGGTGTTTTCTGGGACCTGTGGAGTATATAAAGCAGATGTTCTATAGATACTTCTGAAGCAAAATCTGTTTTGTTGGTTATTATTTCAGGAGATGGGATTCAATGACGTATGATCATTGATAAGATCCTTCAAATCTTAAGCTCCTTGTGAATTACACAGTATCTAAGATCAGCTTATCTACTATCTAAGCACACACAGAAGCCTAACACGAGAAGGAATTATAATCAACTTTTCAGCGTCTACTAAAGTAGTTTCCGGTAAAATATCAGTTTTTAATCCACTTGATATAACCAAATTATCGCTGAGATAAGTAAGAACCTTGGCCCTCTGCAATAATGAGCAGAACTACCAAATTAAAATTCTGATGTTAAGCAACTGCACTTTTGGAAAACTGGTGGCTGGTTCTTTGATTGTTCCCATCCTTGACAAGGAGTCAGAAAGCTTTACACCAAAAAGATTTTCGACCAGAACACGTGCCCATCTGACAGTCACCAGCAGAGCTTCCAGAACGCTTGTTCAGCAGCATTGCCTCACTGCATCACGCTGTTGCTGTGCATTGTATTTGTCACTGCAATTCACTTGCGCTGGTGCAAAGCCACTGGTTAACACAGCAGCCCCAAGTCTACAGTTCACAGTCACTAGCCAGCCAACACATGCCACAGTCTACTCATTTTTATCATTTTAACAAGCATAAGAGTAAGGTCAGTAAACCACTGTGGTGCACTAAAAGCTTTTTTTTTCTTTTTTTAAGCAAGTGCAGAAGATGCATTCTGCTGGACCAGCCATTCATTTATGATAAGAAAACAATGTGATATATTTACCAATATATCACATTCTATTGGATGTGCTAAGGAACATCTTCCCAGGGAGGTATCTGAGTGGCATTCACATGGATTAAGCTGCATATCCATTAGCTGCAATGAGAGACATCTCCTGCCTAACTCTCCCTTCATCCTTGCACAGAACAAAAACAAATGCTGCGTGCCTGTGTGTGTCTGCTCATTTAAACACCTGACTTCATTGGAATTACCTCTTGTTTTAATCTACTGTGCTCTCCTTTGAACATTCAGATCTGTTTGTTTGACTTTTTTCTTTAAGTCAGAAACCGTTCTGCTAAACTACACATATAGCAATCTCTTGCCTGAAAGACAGTCGAGCATGTGAAATTCAGACTGGTTATTTCATCTACTAGGTCTTGTAATGCAGTATAAATTTTTGATAATAGCAGTAATATATATTATGCATATAAGGCATATGGTTATAAAAATGTCAACTGACCTTTATGGCTTTCCTCTTCATATGAATATTCAGTCATCCATTCGTCCCTCGATCCACTGCAATCCTGTAAAGAAAAGATGAAATAATGTAGTGTTTTTGAGAGAGTTGAAAATCTGGCACTTAACTGATGCATTTTCTTAGGGTTTAATTAATTTCTCAAGTGCTTCCCTTCATATAAACAGAAACCTAAAGACACACGTCTGTTCTACAGCGAAAGAGTTTAGAAGTACAGTAAGTTTACAAGCATTTTAAATAAAACTGGATAAATATGCCAAATAAAAATATACTGGAAAGAAAAGCCTTATATTTTCTGATAATTAATTATTTTAGACAGTTCTCTCAGTCACTTAATTTCTGACCCATTACTGAGTTTATTAAATCCCAACTGCTTGATTTAGACCTCAGATCCCACTGATTCTACCGGAAAACTTTGCAGTAGTTAGAGAGTATGAAAAATCTTTAATATTATTTCAAAATGTGTTTCCCCGAAATATTGTGTAAGATCTGCACAATAGCTGCATTAAAAAGACAAAACATTTATCAGAAGTGAGTTATTATTCTGGCCACAGATCATAACTGAAGGATGTTACAAAATTAGAGTATGTAATTCATGAGGTCTCAGAAGAAAAAAAAAAAAAGACTTGAATTTTCAAAATTTAAATAACTCACGGTGTGTCTTAAAACACTGGTGTGGGTATATATATATATGGGTATATCCAGAAGCAAATTCTGCTTACATACGATGTAAAATTCTGCAAATTCTACTTTTAATGATGTAAACATTGTGATTTCAGGAATCTAGATATTTTGTCAGAGAGCTGTTATAAACAATCTGCCATTATTTTATGTCATTCAAAATAAGGCAGTCCTTCAAAAAGCATTAGAGCATCACCTGCTCATTTTCAAACCAGCATTTCACTGGGGATGTATAGATGATGACATGGCTAATGGGTTTCAGCAAACTTAGCAAACTTTCACACTGAAAACAAGGCAGGAGAGTCCAGCTGGAATGTACAATTAATAAACATTCATATACTGTGCTAGTATTAACTTGATGAAACACCATGCACTTATATTTTTATTATTAACCTTTAATATTTTCTTAGAAATAAAATAAACTTAGGTTTCAAATTAATATTCATATGAATCGTAAAAGGTTGTAAAATCCTGAGAAACAGGGACCTCACTAAACATAATTAAATACTGTAGGCCTGCTGTGCTCTGACTGCTGTTGACTATTTGCCCTGTCTTTGAAGCATCTTGGAGCACCCATCATTTTTTTTCTCTCTCTTTAATCTCCCTTGGCCTAATTCCAATTGCTTCAAATTTTCCATTTTGTGAAGCAACTTCTCCTTGGCAGACCACTAAGCCAGCAAGCCTTGGACATGATCAACTTGTTTCTTCCCCGCCGTGGATTGCACGCTGGAGGAAGGACCCTTGCGTCCTAGCAGGCAATTTGGACATTGCATCATGCTTTGATGCAATGTCCAAAAATGGGACAGCTGGGACAGTGCTGGATTGTGCTGAATTTACACCCTGTGCTTATCAAACCCGAATAGGACTCGGCCTATCTTTTCAACTGAATGCAACAGGGCGTAAAGGAGTCTCTGTCAGAGGGAAAGCTCCTGCGACCTTGCCCATTGTTCCCAATTCTCCACATTTTCTCCTTGTTCCTTCTCTCCCAACATCCACAAACCCCACTTCCCGCGGATCTGCTCAGCTTCATGTTACCCAGGGATGCTGGAGGTCTGATCAGGTTTCTGTGCAATAAGGAAAACGAGGGTGTGTGTTTCTAAACTGCTAACTTACAGCTATCTAAATAATCAGAGTTGCTCTCGCTTTACATTATTAAATCATGTACCACGGCCTTCCCTTGGTGAGAAAGCTACTGCTTTAGCCACAATAAATAACTGGCTTATCTCACTAATTCCACTCATGTTTGCGCAACTTATCACACACCGAGTTGTCCCCTTCCTTCCTGCTTGCCACAAATCCCACGCGCACAGGTCAAAGACCCCTTTAGTCATGGCTTTGGGCCATGGTTTAGTCATGGTTTTGGGCCACTTTTGGGATGAGGATGAAGAGCCAAACATTTCTCAGCAAATGTCTGCTCGCCTGGTGACGCCACAATTCCGTGAGCTTGTCCTTGGAAGGGCTGAAAAGCCCAGACGAGCTGCTCCATGGCCTTCCCAGCGACGGGGGTGGGCCGACTGGCCTGTAATTTCCCGGCTCCTTTCTCTGGCCCTTTTTGAAGGCTGTAGTGATGTTGGTTTCTTCCAGTCCTCCAGCACCTCCCCTGCTCTCCAGGACCTCTTGGAGATGATGGAGAGCAGCTGAGCAACAACTCCCGCCAGTTCCCTCAGTGCTCTTGGGTGCATCCCATTGGGGCCCATAGATTTACCCGAGTCCAGTTTGCCTAAGTGATCCCTAACCTGATCCTCCTCGACCAGCAGAATGTCTTCCTCTCTCCTGACTATCTCTCTCATATCCAGGCTCTGTAGCTCATGGAGACCAGCCTCAGCAGTAAAGACAGCAGCAAAGACGGCCTTTAATAACTCTGCCTTGTCGGCCTCCTCCGTCACCAGGGCACCCTCCCCGTTCAGCAGCAGGCCCAGATAGTTTGATAAAATGTACTCAATTTAGATTGTGTAAACACATACACATACTAAATACGTATTTTACATACAGGACTCCTGTGCATTTTATCACTATCTAACTAACAGTGACCATAAAGTTTATTTCTGTTTTGTTCTCAGAGTTTCTGGTTGGTTTTGGTCTTAAAGGTTATTCAAGAGTGACTCCATCCTCCTAGACTCTTGTTACTCGATGTGGTGTCATAACAAAAATACTTCATTTATTATTTAAAAGTATTTCTGAAAATTAACTTAATGCTTCAATAATGCTTCAAATTCTTTTTTTTTTTTTTTCTTCGCAGGTGTGTTAATAGAAGTGAAAAAGAAGCAGAAGCCGGAGAGTGGGATGCTTGTTGCTAGGTGATACCTGGCTCTCCTGAACGCCTACAGATTGTAATAGTCATACGGCCACTAGAATGAATGATGCCTGGGGTAGAAGAAGAGGAGACCCGCACGCTCACGGAAACAGATCGCGATTCAAGGCAAGAAACACGAGCTGGGCCACCAACTCGGTCCCTGGGGTAGGCAGAAATTAGAAGCCTGGAGTGTGATAAGGGGAGTGCAATCCTGCTCCTCCTGAGCATCTATCCTTAGTCCTGCTGGAACCCGGTGGGGCCCACACGGAGATGTCCCTGAATTAGGATTTACCTCTATACCAAACCGTCTCAGAAAGGTCTGAATGACAAGAAGGTCTTCCTTCAGAGCTGGAAACTACATCCCTTGCTCAACCAACTGCGCAGCTGCTTCTTCAGTGTTACCTTCTGATAATGTGGCTGCCCAGAAAAAGAGAAGGCAGTTGGCAAGATGCAGGTGACTGATTCCTTAGCAGAATATCTTCCTTCGCGTGAAGCCTATGTGTAGCTGGGCTGCTCCTTTGCTTTAAAGGCTTTCTTCAATGACTCTCTTCCACAGAGCGCTTGCACAGTATTTCAGCGGAGGCGTGGAAAAACAAACCCTACTCTTTACAGGTCTTTGATTTTATTAGATTTTTTTATCAAGTTCTACAACTTCAAGGACAGGTTCCAGGCCTCCAGGTTCAAAAAGATGATTTTAATAAGCAGTTCATTCAATCTAGAACTTAATGACTCAGTATGAAAAAAAAACTATATACATTCTTATAATGTAGACTCAGGGAATCAATAATCCGCAAAACATAATGTCTTTCAATAATAACTTAAAAAACAAAAAAACTGCAGAGATGAATGAATGTACACTAAGTGTTTTAATGCGACAAACAAAAGACAAAGTTATAAACATTGTGAAGGTAGAAAAAGGTTTTAAAATTTAACAGAATTATTGGATGCCCAGATTTAATGAATAATCAGACCTCAAACTGGAAGAGTAAAGCAAATTGCAGGAAATGGAGAGAAAAAATTGGGCAAAATTTTTATTCTAAAACTAGTGCTGGTTATCTTTAACCCTTTCAGTTGTGTGGATAGTTTGGGGGCCTTCACACCTCTATTTTTAGCAGAATGATTTTTTTTTTTTTAAGATCTAAATAGAACAAGTTTTTAATAAACGCCATCACACATGACCTGGGACTGCTTCTCTGGCACAGGGAAACGTGCACAACACACAGTGCACACGCTGAGCGCTTGGTCTCTCGTTCACCCTCCACCCTCATGCAGTTCAAACTCCTCCTCAGAGTTATATTTCTACTCAGACGTCCTACCAGCCTCTGCACAAAGTCCCGGGAACTTAACAGGCCTTCTCTTGGTGCAAGAACTCCTTACAACGAGTACACATGTGTGCATGTGTATGTGCATGTGTACATATACAGAGATGTAAACACACACAAGTGCATATATACACATGTATGAGTATATACATGCTAGGTATAAAAATATACACTCTCCTACCACAATATGTTGGTGAATTAGTAAATTATTTTTGCAAATAATTGACTTAAAGGATCTGCAGAGAGCACATCTTCTAGTGTACCACCAAAAGAACAGAAGGTTTTCAGTCAGGCTCTAAATGAAACTGTTTCAGAACATGCAAAGAATGTGCTGCTCTCAAAATAATAACAGTGACCCAAGATTTCCACTCAAGAGGGCTTACAAGCATGAGAAAAAAAATAAAGTAAAAGTAAAAAACTGATTACCATAATTTGACACTGGAATCCTAGCTGTTGTACTTCCACATCTTAATTACAATTCAGAAAAGGAGAATGCAATTAAACGCATTGAAAATAAGGACAAAATGTAAAACCGAAAATCTAAGTACCCAAAGGAAGACCGTTCATGCCTCAAGTTCATGGAACTAGCTGCTTATTTCTTAGTAAGTTTGTGGGGAGTGAACTGGAACTATTGTGAATTACCAAGCCTATTTTTTGTCCAAATTAAAGTCTCCGGTGTAAATATGGCTTTTTTTTAACAGTTGATTATATTCCCTCTTACCTATAAGAGTCACCTTTCACCTACCCTATTTA